CACATCAACTGTACACCAAACGCACATCAACTGTGCACCAAACGCACATCAACTGTACACCAAACTCACATCAACTGTACACCAAACGCTCATCAACTGTGCACCAAACGCACATCAACTGTACACCAAACGCTCATCAAAGATGGCGCAGGCAGTTGGCTGGGCGCCAGCAGCTCCCCTGGCGCACGAATTTTTTCAACATAAAAACATTAACAGAATAATTACTCAATTAATTACGCAATTACTATTGAATTAAAGATATGATTTGTGGGTCATAAATGATTTTTAATATCTACAAGTTAGCATATATATAACTGTTATCTACAACAGCTCTCAGTATTGTGCACACAACTGAACGGTTTCAACTTCCAAGAATGTGTCACTGTAACGTAACAGTTAGCGAGTATTGTAGCATTGTTGGTAGCGCTGTTGGTGCTAACAGGCCGTTATCCTGCTGCTGTTGGTGCTAACAGACCGTTATCCTACCGCTGTTGGTGCAAACAAGCCGTTATCCAGCTGCTTTCATCAACTGTACACCAAACGCTCATCAACTGTACACCAAACGCTCATCAACTGTACACCAAACGCTCATCAACTGTGCACCAAACGCTCATCAACTGTACACCAAACGCACATCAACTGTACACCCAACGCACATCAAAAGATGGCGCAGGCAGTTGGCATGGCGCCAGCAGCTCCCCAGCCGTACAAATTTCTTTAACATCAAACCTTAACAGAATAATTACTCAATTAATTACGCAATTACTATTCAATTATGGATATGATTTGTGGGTCATATATGATTGTTAATATGTATAGGATATCATAAATGTAACTGTTATCTATAGCAGTATTGTAGCATTGTTGGTAGCGCTGTTGGTGCAAACAGGCCGTTATCCTGCTGCTGTTGATGCAAACAGGCCGTTATCCTGCCGCTGTTGCAGCAAACAGGCCGTTATCCTGCCGCTGTTGGTGCAAACAGGCCGTTATCCTGCCTCTGTTGGTGCAAACAGGCCGTTATCCTGCCGCTGTTGGTGCAAACAGGCCGTTATCCTGCTGCTGTTGGTGCAAACAAGCCGTTATCCTGCCGCTGTTGGTGCAAACAGGCCGTTATCCTGCCGCTGTTGATGCGAACAGGCCGTTATCCTGCCGCTGTTGGTGCAAACAGGCATTTATCCTGCTGCTGTTCCAGCTCCATTCTGCCAGTGACTGGGACGTTAGTTATTTGCCAAAAGCGTATAACTAGCGGACCATAACAGCGAAAACTTCCAATAACGGACAGTAAAGGAAAATACTAGCAATTTGAACTGCCAGCCAACAACGGTGAATTGAAACTACACAAACAACACACTAAAATCATATAGGACCTATAATAACTCCACCAATAACAGCTTCGTGCAATTGCGGCCGAAAAAATTCGTTATGTTGTTTTACTTTCTCATTTTGCGTTTGTACTGATAATGCGCATCCTAATTTGCAGCGAAAAATAAATGATTTGAATGTCCTCGATGAGGAATGAGGCGGCCGGCATTAAGCCATTCCTGGAATGGGAATGGCCCGAAGAATTCCGGAATTTATGGGTAGCTCTTAAAATTGCGGCGCCAAATTCCCGTTTGGAATTAAATCGACGGCCGAGAATCGGGAACGGACGGATGCATCGCTGCCTGCGCTGCGCATGCGGTGAACCGAACGCAAGAGCAGCAGCAGAGCAGCATTACGGCTGCAGATCAGCATTACGGCAGCATTACGGCAGCGTTAGGGCAACATTTGGGTGGTGTCAGGCGGTGATATTAAAAAGCCGCCACATGACTAATAATATTATTTCGACCTGAGCCTGTGGACAGGATTAGTTGACTAAGTGCTTAAGGAATAAGTAAGACACAATCTATCTAGAGAACTTATGTTGATACGGGTGGTTATACACGAGAGATAAAATGCATGGAGGTTTAGGCTAAATATAGATTGTTAGGTCGGAGTAACTTTAAAGAATGTTATATGGCGGTGTGCTAGTTAGCGGCAGAATTAGGGCAGCATTAGGGTGGCATTAGTGCAGCATTAGAGTGGCCTAAGGGTGGCATTAGGGTGGCATAAGGGCGGCATTAGAGTGGCATATGGGTGGCATAAGGGTGGCATAAGGGTGGCATAAGGGTGGCATTATGAGGTGGCATTAGGAAGCATTAGTGCAGAATTAGAGCAGCATTAGAAAAGTTAGTTGTAATCAGCTGAAAAATTTTCGTTTTTAATTGTTGTGTTGTGTTGCATTCAACGACAGTCCAGAATGACTTCATTAATGAGGAGAATGTATGAATCTATCAATTTTGATTAAACACCAGAGCATGCTTTTTATTGATAATCTTCATATTCGGTTTTTCAATGTGTCGCCAAATGTCATTTCATGGAATGCGACGTTTCGAAAATACAATTTTCATTATAAAGCTTGCATGATAATGAAAATTGTTTCAATATCAAGCCTGCTTGATAATGAAACAAAAAAAGGGGTTTTGCAACACTTGAAATTGAGCTTTAATAAATGACAGTAGTACAAATCAATGGTATTGTGGATACAGTTTAAAGTATAAGCCTAAAATTACTCTGAAAATAATTTCAGCGCTCGGACAAATCCTGTAGTCTGGAGGTTGATAGCTTTAGACTCGCTCTTGATAATGAGAGCCTCAGCTCTTGATAATGAGGGCCTCAGCTATCGCCAGTCTCGATGGGTCAGGGCACCGCATAACTATGCTGGTGCAGGCCTCATATGTCACTCGGGTCCAGTTCGTCAGAAAAACTTCTGCCGAATAATATAAAATTTCGAATGCATAAATATGTATAAATATATAGGAATATATCTATATCTTCTGATTGAGGACAAGTTAAGTGCAGAAAAATTTCGCCTCATTCTCCCTTTATCCACATTCCCCATCTTGGGGAAGAGAACTGATGGGTTCAACGTCCGTTACTTATCTACAGTTGTAAATTAGTTCAATTCTCTCTATTATTCCCCATGACTGGGGAAGAACGGTTAAATCTTCACCACCACTCCCCGGGACAACCAGTCACTCCCCACGACTTTGCTCATTTACTCTCTTCATTAATAACGTCTTCTCCCCAGTGCTTGGGGAAGACGTCTGTCTATTAACACACACATTTATTTGTATTACCCTCCGTTCTTCCCCAATGTTTGAGGAGGACTGCTTCTATTTACCGATTTTAATGACTTGCTCCCCATCCTCTCTCCATTCCCCTCTTCCTCCCCAAGGCTGGGGAGACGCCAGGCTTAATTGATTGATGAAGCCCAACCCTCGCTCCCCTCGTTCCCTCAGCCGTGGGGAACAATTGTGTGTTCTTTAAATGTATTATTTATTTCACTCTTCCCCAATCCTAGTAAACTTGAATCTTCTTGATATGTTTAATTAATCCCAAGGAAAATAAATAATAAAGGGGAACTTTTTCCTGGGGAAGATATTAGTGGATAATATTTGAACTCAGCCAATTACCTCACCCCCTCCTCCCCAGTGCTGGGGATGGACTAAAGTCACCCATTACCCCCCTCCTCCCCAGTGCTGGGGGAAGACTAAGGTCACCCATTAACCCCTTCCTCCCCAGTGCTGGGGGAAGACTAAGGTCACCCATTAACCCCCTCCTCCCCAGTGCTGGGGGAAGACTAAAGTCACCCATTACCCCCCATCTTCCCCAGTGCTGGGGGAAGACTAAAGTCACCCATTACCCCCCTCCTCCCCAGTGCTGGGGGAGGACTAAAGTCACCCATTACCCCCCTCCTCCTCAGTGCTGGGGGAAGACTAAGGTCACCCATTACCCCCCTCTTCCCCAGTGCTGGGGGAGGACTACTGCCCCGGCTACACTAATGAGGGCCTCAGCTCTTGATAATGAGGGCCTCAGCTATCGCCAGTCTCGATGGGTCAGGGCACCGCATAACTATGCTGGTGCAGGCCTCATATGTCGCTCGGGTCAAGTTCGGCAGAAAAACTTCTGTCGAATAACACAAAATTTCGAATGCATAAATATGTATAAATATATAGGAATATATCTATATCTTCTGATTGAGGACAAGTTAAGTGCAGAAAAATTTCGCCTCATTCTCCCCTTATCCACATTCCCCATCTTTGGGAAGAGAACTGATGGGTTCAACGTCCGTTACTTATCTACAGTTGTAAATTAGTTCAATTCTCTCTATTATTCCCCAAGACTGGGGAAGTACGGTTAAATCTTCACCACCACTCCCTGGGACAACGAGGCACTCCCCACGACTTTGCTCATTTACTCTCTTCATTAATAACGTCTTCTCCCCAGTGCTTGGGGAAGACGTCTGTCTATTAACACACACATTTATTTGTATTACCCTCCGTTCTTCCCCAATGTTTGGGGAGGACTGCTTCTATTTACCGATTTTAATGACTTGCTCCCCATCCTCTCTCCATTCCCCTCTTCCTCCCCAAGGCTGGGGAGACGCCAGGCTTAATTGATTGATGAAGCCCAACCCTCGCTCCCCTCGTTCCCTCAGCCGTGGGGAACAATTGTGTATTCTTTAAATGTGTTATTATTTATTTCCCTCTTCCCCAATCCTGGAAACTTGATTCTTCTTGAAATGTTTAATTTATCATATCCTTCCCCAGGAAAATGAATAATAATGGGAAATTTTTCTTGGGGAAGATCTAGGTGGATATATATTATTTGAACTTAGTCAATTACGCTCCCCTCTCCTCCCCAGTGCTGGGGGAAGACTAAGGTCACCTATTACCCCTTCTCCTCCCCAGTGCTGGGGGAAGACTAAAGTCACCCATTAACCCCCCTCCTCCCCAATGCTGGGGGAAGACTAAAGTCACCCATTACCCCCCTCCTCCCCAGTGCTGGGGGAGGACTAAAGTCACCCATTAACCCCCCTCCTCCCCAGTTCTGGGGGAGGAATAAAGTCACCCTTTAACCCCCCTCCTCCCCAGTGCTGGGGGAGGACTAAAATAACCCATTACCCCCCTCCTCCCCAGTGCTGGGGGAGGACTACTGCCCCGGCTACACGGATGGGTTCGGCCACTGGAACAACGGCTTCCCCTGTCCATCGCTGGCCGCCGATATGCCGCCCGTCCGCTGCTGTGGCACCGCGACGCATAAATATTGCTGCAGCGTGGCCACCCATACGGCGACCATGAGGTGAGAGCTGCTGCGTGGCCGCCCATACGACGACCATGAGGTGAGGGCCGCAGCCTGGCCACCCATACGGCGACCATCAACTCCAGCTATTTATAATATAAATAATTGATAACTTGTATTTGTAAACCTATTCAGAAATATTTAATTATTTAATTTTGTCCAACGCGATATAAATTATGTATTGATTATCATTTAACCCTCTATCGCCGTACGTCACTTGCCGGGAACATAACTCTCAACTTAAATTACACGTAAACTATTAATATGCATAACTATTAATAGTTTACGTATAATATAATTATAAGTAAACTATTGAGCGTAGCAACGTGAGGACGTTTGTACGCAACATAGAACATTTTAAAGTTAAATTTTCAACTTAAATTATACGTAAACTATTGAGCTATGTTAGGCGGTGGAGGGTTATATGTCATTTGATTATCATTTGATTGTCATTTGATTGTCATTTGATTATCATTTGATTGTCATTTGATTGTCATTTGATTATCATTTGATTGTCATTGGATTATCATTTGATTGTCATTTGATTGTCATTTGATTGTAATTTATTGTAATTAACCTTTGATTATCATTTGATTGAGATTATTTGATTGAGCTTATTTACTTGATTTGATTGAGATTATAATTTGATTATAATTTGATTATCATTAGATTATCATTTGATTATCATTTGATTATCATTTGATTATCATTTAATTCTCTTGTGTTATTGATTATGCATTACTGAGCAGCGAGGGCGGCGGTGCGCGAGCGGGGGCGTGGTTGCCGAGGTAATTAATGAGAGGGAAGTTACCCTCTGTTACCCCTGTCTCTTATACACATCTAGATGTGTATAAGAGACAGNGTCACTAACACGCGTCACTAACACGCGTCACTAACACGCGTCACTAACACGCGTCACTAACACGCGTCACTAACACGCGTCACTAACACGCGTCACTAACACGCGTCACTAACACGCGTCACTAACACGCGTAATTAACCCATTACTTCATTTGCTGTGTGTTGGTGCCTAGGCACTTGTATTACTTGTGTTCTTTGGTTCTCTAGTACTTGTTTTAACACAAATACTGCAATCTTTTATGAGGTGAAATATATGAATATATTGGATATCCATTGATGTAAATCTGTATAACACAGGCTATATACTCTGTACAACACAGGCTGTATACTCTTTACCAACACAGGCTGTGTACTCTGTATTACACAGGCTGTATACTCTGTATTAACACAGACTGTGTACTCTGTATAACACAGGCT